TGATCTATGGTGAGGTGGTTTACTATGTGCGGTTGGTGTTGCAGCGCAAGTCGGTGTGCAATAAGGTGTTCAAAGCGCGCATAACGGTAAAAAACCGATTGGATTTAAGCAATGCCACAGATTTGGTTGAGGTACGTACACAATGTCAGCTCTAACTAATATGATAATTGATGCTAAAACCTTAAATTTCCAATCTTTAATTGTAAATCCCAACAGCCTTATGAACTCAACATCCCCTGTGTGACCACAACTAGTGCTGAGGCTGCGCCACTCAACTTCACTCTGTCCACGGGCACTGGCTATGTGCCCGGCCAAAGTATTTTCTATACGCTGTATGGTCGACACAAATTTGCGGCATGCAACAGATTACGTGTGAACTTATGTCAACTAAGCACATTTCGTGCAAGCAAACCGCAGACGAAAACGAGGGAATTGCTGAAGGTGCTAAAAAGTAATACCCACCAAATAGGTTCCTCATACGTCACGGTGTGCGGTCAGCTAAGCATACCGCTAGTGGCGCACATTACACTGAAGAGTAATGAAAATAATCTCATACAAATCAGTCATTTTGTTGAAGCTATGCTGATAAATAAGAAGCACATCTTACAAAAGTTAATCATACCGATTGTGATTGGTACAGTACCTCCAAAGAGGAAAGAACGAACGCCAGAGGAGAAGTCTTTCGAGCTACTGGAACATTTTTATTGTTACGATAATTTGGGTGAGTGTGAAAGTAAAACTTTTATTGGATATAGCGGTTCCTGTATGTTTACCGGTTCAAATTTTGCCCTTAAAAACAAAATATTGATTTGGGTCAAAATGACCCAGAAACACTGTGGACGTGTGAAAAAACTATACTGCCTTCTAGAAAACAAAATAAAATAATAAAACTTTTTATGTTTTTCAAAACCACAGCTGTTTATTATTTGAACGAATAGACAACGCCACAGCTTATTTAAAATTACCTAGCTCTGTAATTAAAAAATTGTTTCATTAAAATTGGGTAATTTTGAACCAATAATTGTAGAAGGGTTAATTTTTTTCGATGCAGAAATGCAGATAGATGCTCTAGGAAAATGTCTGTATCAAAAAGAAAATTTTGAAAAAATTGTCACTTACATCTTTTGGTGGTTAGATGTCGATATATACTTACATATATACTTTAGTATATACATTTATGTATTTCGTTTTCTATTTCTTAAATATATACATATGTACATGTATACAAAAATATGTACTTATGTAGTAGATAAACAAAAATGTGGTTATTCATAAAAATCTACAAAATATTTTTTTTCTAATAAAAATATTTATTTTCAAATTCTCTCATTCTTTACAGCGACTGACGAGATTTGCGAC